CATTTGTAACAGTATCATATGTTTATGGATCTTATAGAGTCAGCAGGGATTAATCTCATACACCATTTTATTTCTTGGTCAATTAAAACAAAAATTGTAACTCTGAAGTAGGGGAAAAGTAATACATTTTCTCACTTTCATATTAGACAATGTTAAGAAGAACAATTGCAACTTTGTTGCAACTCATGAGTTCTTTAAAGTTTAAGACTAAAATTCAGTGGCTATTACTGAAGAGCATATTTTGATTAGGGAACTGTTTTTTTATTAATGATGGACACATCTTATTGAGGTGAAAAGACTGTGTCTATGGAACATTGTTGGTCTGTTACTGAACTGGGTTTGTAAGGCAACAAATTACTGAACAAAAAACACTTATGGGACGAATCACCTCTCAGGAAGAGAGTTTGAAATCCATGTGTATCTCATAAATAAGGGTGATTTCCACTCTTTGTGATACTTTCATAGGTGCAAAACCCAGAATAAAAAACAGGTAGGCAGAAGCAGGGATTTCAGACACTCAGAGAGAAGAAGGAGGAGGAAACAGAGAGAATCAACATTAAAGACGGGACTCTAGCTAACCTTGTCTAAGAAAGCTTGCTGTCTTTTATTTTGGGAACTCTGATTTCCTTTACAAGGATTTCCCCAACTAAAGACCTTCTATCCGGGTCAGTGCAGTGTTAATTTAGTCACCAGTTTTTGTTTTAGTCAAGTCGACTAAAATGTCTATGAGTCATATTCATTTTCTACTCACCCACTTTTCATTCCATCCAGTCAACTACATTTTGACTATAATTACTCTTATTTTTTGTCAGCTAAAACAGAATTATTTTTAGTCACATTTTAGTCATGCTGTTTAATTTATTTGTATAATAAAATGCATACAGGTTTTAGTTTTGTTAATTTAATTATTTAGTTTATTTCTTGAAATATTAAATTCAGTCTCGTTTAATTTACAATTATGGCTGTTCTAATTGGATAGGCTTTTAATTTAAGCAATAAACGTGTATAAACAGATTAGGAACCTCATCTGTCACTCATCTAATAAGGCTAACCAAACCAAAAGGATCAAAGTCTTGCAAAGTTGCACAATCTAAAGTGTATTTATCCCCAGAGAGGATAAATATCAAATGCAATAAATAATTGTGCAATAAAATGTAAATGATCTTATACAGAGACATCATGTGAATCTTTCCTAATAGGAAAATCTATTTTGGCACCTAATATTGTGGCACTTACTAATAATTCTGTCATTTTATATAAGTTTTTATAGTTCTTTTTTCAAAGCAACTATTTAAGAAGTTTCAAAGCAGTATTATTAGAAATCTATTCAATAGGGACCACTTCAAATACTGAATTTGCAATTACTATAGGGAAATTATTACATGAGCTACTTATACTGTATATTATGAAATATTATAAAAATATTTAAACCAGACAGGGCAAGCTATATATATATATTCTTTAACTAACTGGTATAATATTATTAATAGCTGGCCCTATCGATGCCATATTACTACAGTCACAGAACTACCGTAGTCCAAGAGTAGTCTAAGTGTTAATTACATTGTTCTAGTATCAAGCTTTCAGGTCTGTCACAGTACTTTCACACCACATATTTTTCTGAAACAATAAGACAGAATACCTGCACGTGTTGGTGCTACGATAATATTTTCTTGGTTACCTAAACACCCAGCCACATAAACTAAATTCAATGAAACATTCTTTTCTGGTGACAATTACATGCTGTGAAATGAAAAGTTCATAAAAAGCATTTTACAGACTCACTTCAACATATTCAAAATATAAAGAAAAGAAATATTTTATTCATATTTTATTTCTGTCAGAGCACTAATACGAAGCTGAAATGTAACAAGCATAGCATGTACTGTATGACCAACTCTCACATTTTAAAAGAGTTACACCTTAATCTATAACCAAGACATGTTAATTGTATAAAATGCAAACTACAAAATACAGTTTATTTGTGCTTAGTTTTCTATTTAATTTGTTGTCTAGCTATGATGTAAAAAAACAGATGTCTTATCAATGCAAAAGTGTCTAGGCACTATGATTCATATGGCACTTCACATTTGTTGGAATTTTGCAACTTGTAATGTAAGTGTGTTATTGTTTCTCTATCTTTAGTAATGTTTTATGAGAATTTCCCAGTGTGCTCATTATGAGGGGTGGAGTGGTGGCTCTGTGGCTGACGATCTGCGCCTGTGGCTGGAAGGTTGCTGGTTCAAATCCTGCTGCTGGCAGAGGAATCCTACTCCATTGGGCCCCTGAGCAAGGCCCTTAACCCCAGCTGCTACAGGGGCGCCGTATAAATGGCTGACCCTGTGCTCTGTCCCCAAGCTTCTTTCTTCCTGTCTGTGTCTCATGGAGAGCAGGCTGGGGTATGCAAAAAGACAAATTCCTAATGCAAGAAATTGTACATGGCCAATAAAGTGATCTTATCTTATATATGAAATACTGCAAGACTCCAGATCTTTTTATTCCAGGTGAAAGCAAGAAATACTACAAGTAATCCTTGTGTCTCCATGGCTTATATGGATTATACCCACAACAGCCAGTCTCCTGTTTGTCAGACAGAAAGTAAATGTGCAAAAACAGTGAATCTCATGTGTAGAAATTAATTTCTTTATGAGGTTTAGTTAAACAGGTCATTTAGTCACATTTTAATTTACTAAAAAAAAAACATAAAGCATTCGAGTCTTCGTCATCCTCATTGTGGATTATTTTTGTGAACATTTCGTTGTTGATTAAAATGAAAAACAGGTCATTGACGAACATTTTTGTCATAATTTTCATCAATGAAATTAACACTGGGTCTGTGATGCTTTTTTAAAAATAGGGCGACGAATGAGGGTCCCATTCAGTTTGGAGAAGATTTGTAGGAAGAGACATTTAGCTCTGGTTAATTAATATTTATTTATCCTCATCTGCCTCTGATAACGCCAGCAGGCATATCACCCTGCAACTCACCACTGGCAACCCACTGAAGCTAAACAGGTGAGCCTGGTCAGTACCTGGATGGGAGACCTCCTGGGAAAACCTAAGGTTGCTGCTGGAAGATGTGGTAGTGGGGCCAGCAGGGGGCGCTCACCCTGCGATCCATGTGGATCCTAATGCACCAGAATACTGATGGGGACACTATACTGTAAAAAGGTGCCGTCCTTCGGATGAGATGTAAAACCGAGGTCCTGACTCTCTGTGGTCATTAAAAATTCCAGGGTGTTTCTCGAAAAGAGTAGGGGTGCAACCCTGGCATCCTGGCAAAATTTCCCCCTGGCCTTTACCAATCACGGCCTCCTAATAATCTTCATCTATGAATTGGCTTCATCACTCTGTTCTCCTTCCCACTGATGGCTGATGTGTGGTGAGCGTTCTGTCGCACTATGGCTGCCATCGCATCATCCAGGTGGGGCTGCATATTGGTGGTGGTGGAGGGGAGTCCCCATTACCTGTAAAGCGCTTTGACTGGAGTGTCCAGAAAAGAGCTATGTAAGTGGAAGCAATTGTTATTTCTTACTCTTTTGGCAAAGCTATACTAAAGAACAAAGAACACAAGTGTCTTTAACTATAACAGCTCGGGTAGATTCTGGCATATCTTTGATAATTCTGGTGGTTATAATTATTTAATTATTGATTATTCTTTATTGTGGCAGCACACAAGTGGCAGAGCACTACTGATATAGGACTGGACCCAGGGCTGCCTCTACTTTCCAGTACAAAACGACTCCTGTCACTTACTAATGATGTCAGTGAGAAGCATGCCTCTCCTCCCACAGGTGCTGATTCTCCTGTGAGCCATGAAGAAGCTTACAACATATTAATAATAATAATAATAATAATAATAATAATAATAATAATAATAATAATAATAATAATATTTACAGGTACTGGGGACTCCCCTCCACCACCACCAATGTGCAGTATCCACCTGGATGATGCGACGGCAGCCATAGTGCGCCAGAACGCTCACCACACATCAGCTATCAGTGGGGAGGAGAGCAGAGTAATGAAGCCAATTCATAGATGTGGATTATTAGGAGGCCATGATTTGTATGGGCCAATGGGAAATTTGGCCAGGATGCTGGGGTTACACCCCTTCTGTTTTCGAGAAACGCCCTGGGATTTTTAATCCACAGAGAGTCAGGACCTCGGTTTTACATCTCATGTGAAGGACGGCGCCTGTTTACAGTATAGTGTCCCCGTCGCTATACTGGGGAATAAGGACCCACATGGACCGCAGGGTGAGCGCCCACTGCTGGCCCCACTAACACCTCTTCCAACAGCAACCTTAGTTTTTCACAGGAGATCTCCAATCTAGGTACTGACCAGGCTCACACCTGCTTAGCTTCAGTGGGTTGCCAGTTGTGAGTTGCAGAGTGATATGGCTGGCAAATGAATAGCTAATAATGAATAGCTCTGCAGGTGGGTGTTTTCAACGGGCATGTCTTCGCATGTCACTCTCTCCCTTGTGGTTGCAAGACATATTGCCAGAAAGTCGAGCCTTAAGACAACCAGCTATTTCACATTCTACATTCTATATTCCACATTGGGTTGGTATGCAATAAAACAATTACGGAGAAACACTGGGTACAGAAAGGCTGGGAGGGGTAGACAACATTACTATTCCTCCATGTAATCTAAAATTTTGTTTGTGCCTCTGAACAACTATCTCCTCTTGAAGAAATACAACCGATATTGATGTTTCATGAGTGATAGCTATACAAATGGAAGGTACTTAGACTGATATAAGTTTTTTATCAATGCCATTAGTGTATTACAAAGCAGTAGACAGATATTGGCTCAAGGCACCAAAGATTTCATGTACATACAATGACTACCATGAAAATAAATGAACAACATCTTTCTCTGCCTGTCTCTATATAGACGATATTCACAACCCTCTGACAGATACTTTGCAGTATTTTATTATTTGTATCTCTGTCACTTTATGTTTTAAGAGAAAAATGCCACAACTGACATACCAAGATACCGGCCACAATAGATGCCACGGTATTGCGACTCTCTCCCCAGTCGATACACTCGCACTCTGGCCAGCGAAAGTTATCCAGGAACCCAGCCATCTCCAACTTCTGGACTTCACCTACACACAGTTAGTCTTCATACAATCTGGAGCACCTGATCGATTAAATTATGAGCCCTGGAATAACAAAGAGAAAATATGAGGGTCAATCCAATACGATTTCAAAATCTTTGTTGAAATACAGCAAAGATAAAAACTGAACTTTCAAAACAGAATACAAGACCATGATATTCCCATTCTCAGTGCTTCACATTAGAAATCAACACTTCCAGAGGCCTGCCAATGTTTCAGACTGTTTAAGAGTGAAAGCAGTGACAACTCATTACACAAGTTATTCCCAGTGACCCAAAGAATCAATTAGTATTAGGGAAATATCAGGTATTACCGAGAAGAGTAATCAATGTGTACATTAAATAATCATAACTCCCAATAAAAGATTTTTCCAAGAATATACAGTGCCTTGCGAAAGTATTCGGCCCCCTTGAACTTTTCAACCTTTTGCCACATTTCAGGCTTCAAACATAAAGATATAAATTTTTTATTTTATGTGAAGAATCACCAACAAGTGGGACACAATTGTGAAGTGGAATGAAATCTATTGGATTTTTGAAACTTTTTTAACTAATAAAAAAATGAAAAGTGGGGCGTGCAAAATTATTCGGCCCCCTTGCGTTAATACTTTGTAGAGCCACCTTTTGCTGCGATTACAGCTGCAAGTCGCTTGGGGTATGTCTCTATCAGTTTTGCACATCGAGAGACTGAAATTCTTGCCCATTCTTCCTTGCAAAACAGCTCGAGCTCAGTGAGGTTGGATGGAGAGCGTTTGTGAACAGCAGTTTTCAGCTCTTTCCACAGATTCTCGATTGGATTCAGGTCTGGACTTTGACTTGGCCATTCAAACACCTGGATACGTTTATTTGTGAACCATTCCTTTGTAGATTTTGCTGTATGTTTGGGATCATTGTCTTGTTGGAAGATAAATCTCCGTCCCAGTTTCAGGTCTTTTGCAGACTCCAACAGGTTTTCATCCAGAATGGTCCTGTATTTGGCTGCATCCATCTTCCCCTCAATTTTAACCATCTTCCCTGTCCCTGCTGAAGAAAAGCAGGCCCAAACCATGATGCTGCCACCACCATGTTTGACAGTGGGGATGGTGTGTTGAGGGTGATGAGCTGTGTTGCTTTTACGCCAAACATATCGTTTTGCATTGTGGCCAAAAAGTTCGATTTTGGTTTCATCTGACCAGAGCACCTTCTTCCACATGTTTGGGGTGTCTCCCAGGTGGCTTGTGGCAAACTTTAGACGAGACTTTTTATGGATATCTTTGAGAAATGGCTTTCTTCTTGCCACTCTTCCATAAAGGCCAGATTTGTGCAGTGTAAGACTGATTGTTGTCCTATGGACAGACTCTCCCACCTCAGCTGTAGTTCTCTGCAGTTCATCCAGAGTGATCATGGGCCTCTTGGCTGCATCTCTGATCAGTCTTCTCCTTGTCTGAGCTGAAAGTTTAGAGGGACGGCCAGGTCTTGGTAGATTTGCAGTGGTCTGATACTCCTTCCATTTCAAGATGATCGCTTGCACAGTGCTCCTTGGGATGTTTGAAGCTTGGGAAATCTTTTTGTATCCAAATCCGGCTTTAAACTTCTCCACAACAGTATTACGGACCTGCCTGGTGTGTTCCTTGGTCTTCATGATGCTCTCTGCGCTTTCAACAGAACCTTGAGACTATCACAGAGCAGGTGCATTTATACAGAGACTTGATTACACACAGGTGGATTCTATTTATCACCATCAGTCATTTAGGACAACATTGGATCATTCAGAGATCCTCGCTGAACTTCTGGAGTGAGTTTGCTGCACTGAAAGTAAAGGGGCCGAATAATTTTGCACGCCCCACTTTTCATTTTTTTATTAGTTAAAAAAGTTTCAAAAATCCAATAGATTTCGTTCCACTTCACAATTGTGTCCCACTTGTTGGTGATTCTTCACATAAAATAAAAAATTTATATCTTTATGTTTGAAGCCTGAAATGTGGCAAAAGGTTGAAAAGTTCAAGGGGGCCGAATACTTTCGCAAGGCACTGTACCTGAATGGTTGGTATAACTACAGGCACATGAGTTCTTTGGCACAGCTTTGGTGAAAAGAGTAGTAAAACAGGCACACTAGGTTAAACAAATGTTAAATAACAATAACAATACAAATACTAAACAAAACACACATAAAAATACAACACGTTACATTATGTACACATTTAAAATTAAGGTGTCCCAGAGGTCTGCCATTCTAACCACCCAGAAATACCCCAGACTGCTACCAAGTATTTGACTCCTACTGTATATAACACATACCAAGGCCAATAAAAAGAGATTAGCAGCCTCCTAAACTAAACAGAATACTACCCGTGATTAAATCTCTTTATGTACAATTGGATGCTGCAAAATGAGTGGGAACCTCTCTTTCCTTTCTAAAAATGCACCCAATAACCAGAAGCGGTCATTTTTAAGAGATTCTTAACACGGGAAATCAAAGCTCCTAACAGCAACAGAATAGCAAACTCTCTTAAAAAGGTTCAAATACTTTACTCCAATCTGGTCTTCCTGGGCGATCAAGACAAGGAGCTCTTGCTTTCTGTCTACCCCTTGCTCCCTCATTCCCCCTGTCTGTTCCTGCTTGTTTCTATGCTGTGTTTTTGGACTGCTACCTGAAACTTAATCATTTACCCAGAACTTAATTAAGGTAAACCAAGGCAAACTTTATGATTGCTTTGATCACCAAATCTGGGACCCCTACATTTAATTAACAAGGAAATGCTGACACAAGTTAGGTTTTACCCATTGTGTCAATATTCTTTAAGACTTTTAATAAAAATAGTGAAAAACATGTAAACATTCCCCTTAAATAAAAGGTAATATATTGTCACAAACCACTGCAACAGTGTGACTTCTTGCCTCTGCTTTGTCTGCCCTACGAATTGTAGGCACTGTGGTGGTTCTGTGGCTGACCTTCTTTTCCACCAGCTGTGTCACTATGCAGATCTGGTAAGACTGTAACATAGTCTTTAACCTCACCCAGGCTGCTACCACCTCTTCAGGCCCCATATATTGAAGGAACCTATGCTTGTTAGGAGTTACCAATTAAGTCTTCAGAAACTGTTTCACTGTTTTGTGCATTCCCATCTGGCCTAAGTTTTTATTCTGGCCTAAGTTCTATTAAGTAGAGGTACAATATAACTCATGTATCCTATGCATGCATGCATGATTCAGCAACATGAAAGGAAACAGGGGTCTCAGCTAATTAGTGTCTTGGTTAATTGCCCAAAGCTGATCTAATTCAAATCAAGGCTGAGCCTCTCGCTCACTTTTCTAAGGACAGCAACATTTTTATAATTGAAGATGAACAACATTTTCATACATTTACAGTATGACTGGTCAACTCCTAACAATAAGGTCAACAAGAATCTAACTCCTTAACTTTCTGACCTTATTTTCAGCTTATATGGTAACACACTACCATTGACCAATCATAAATGTATGAAAATTTTGTTCATCTTCAATAAAAAAAGCGTTGCTGTCCTTAGAAAAGTGAGCGAGAGGCAAGTTATTAACTACATCTGTCCTCCTTATTTATTACAATAAAGAAATCTCCAGCTTGATTTACCAGTGTTGTGTGGTTTACTGAGAAATAAGGGTCTAACAATATTCAGCCAGGGTCGATTCATTAGTGACCAATCTTGCTTCACCAATACAGTATGTTAACACATATAAGATCTTTGAACCCTCACTTACAGAATCATTAGCAGCTGATTTTTTTATCTGTTTTTTTTCCCTTTCAGGGGAACTCAAATCCACTCAAGGATTTCTAACCAGCTGATGGTAACCAAGTCCTTTTGGATGCCGAGAGAGAAAGAACCCTAGTCTGTCTTCAGAAGCCCTGTTAGCAGCAGTTGTAAACCCTCTCTCAGATGTTTACGTTTGGCCAGGTCCTGTCTACCACAGCAACAACAGTGTCTGTTACTGTTTTATTCTCAGTGTTTCAGTCTTTATAGAATTGTAGAGCCTAACCTGACGGTGCTAAAATAGCTTGCCCAGGAGAGCTGCTATCTATTTAAACCCCGCAAAAGACAGGAGCAGACTGATGGCACAACCGGCCTTTCCTCCCACACTTAACCCCACTTCTAATCAGACCTTACCAGCTCCAGATAAATAACCTTCTGAGTCGCCAATTTTCAGTCTGCTTTTAAAACAGCGACACCTTCATCCTACTGAGTATTCCTGCTGGCTTTTCCCTGACTGATGCTTGACAAGTGAAGTCAAGTTGCTACACCATGTGAAAGCTCTTGACATGACTGTGATTTGATTAGATATTTATTTTCCCCCTAAAATTTGTGACATGCACATTTTGAGTCCGAAAGCCCTACACCTTAAGAATAGGCTCTATGATCACGGGTTCAAGCCTCAGTTATGTCACTAGCTGACTGCGACTGGGATTCACCGTGCAGTGGAGCACAAATGGATAAACGCTGGGTGGGATTAGTCGCCTAAGGCTATTTCAACGCACAGCGACAACACAACCTCTGTGCCAGAAAGTTGCAGGCATGCAGTAAGGAATGAGCCTGTACAATCAGTGCTGATCTTTCGGAAGGGACTATGGTATTTATTGAAATATGATTGGCAATCTGCAATATTCCCTTTGTCCTGTATCTGGTTGTAGGTTTGTAGTTTTTGAGCAGAGTCATGAAAAACACACGACTAGCTATTTGAAATCTGTGATTCAAAATTAAAAAAAAATATTTCTCATACACTACAACCTTTTCATATGCAATCCCTGGAGATACTAGTCAAGAAATCAGTTTATTGCATGCTTAGTCAAAATGTGGAATAATATGGAAATTATTATTAAATTATTATATTAAATTATAAGACAAAACAATTAATGACAAATTAATATCTCAAAAGCAAAAAAGTGACAACAATGTTCTTTATTCTCATTCTCTCACTCAAGTTCTGGAAGCAGATTCCCTGAACCATTGTCTTAAAGTTTCAGTGTAAAAAAGACTTGTGAACTCAGCAGATATATCTTGGGCATTATTCGTAGGAATTCTGACTAATGAACAAACTAATGTTTTTACTCATGTTTCATTCTATTGGCTATGTGTCAATGACTTTGATTACCTGCTTAGATGATGAAAATGCATTTGTTCAAATTCTTTGGTTTAAATGTGACCCATAAAATCTGTTGCAAAGATACAGTACAAAACCTGAGGTGAACGTTAGAGCCTAAGAGTTATGCATTGGTTTTCATAGCAACTATACATATATTGCATAGCCTAGATTATTGCAATGGATGACTTTTCAACATAATTTTCCTCCTATTTTGTGTTATTGTAACACCTTACAAAAGTAACTTGAAACTGTAATGGATTATGTTACAAAAGTACTTTTCCTCCACACTGGCTTATGAGAGCCTTTTTTTTCACTTTGCTGAAGAAGAGGGGATTTCCAAACAAAGAGAAAGAAACATTCTAGAATAGTGCTTAAAAAGTCAGGAAATGAGCCAACAAGGAAATGAATGTCATGGCAGTAACTAATCATAAAGGATGTCTTTTTGTTAATTAAAGCGGTACAGTAGCTGCAACAAATTAAGAATAAGTAAAGATTAACTCAAAGATTAACAGTACAAATGAAGACACTTTGCTACAGTATATGAGCCCAATTGGTTTCAACATTTCAACTGGTAAGTGAAAACTCATAGAAGCAACACTACATTCCAATTAACATACATGGAATAAACAGAGACCTTTACAAGTAATTTTAACAGGATATAAGCCAGAGGAGATTACATACTCTTCTAATATATTTGTTTACTTTGGCACAATAAGCTGTGTTATTGATATGTTGCATCAAGTAGAATTTACCAACACTTAATTTTTATGCAAGCTGTTATGTTTAAATGTATTATGAAGAAGCTATGTGGAGAAAATAGATTTCCATGATCTCTATACCGTACATGAACAAAAATGACAAACTAACCGAAATTTCTATACTGAAGAAAAGTTATATAAACCCTGTGCAGTCAAAGACAGAATAAAACCCTTAGCTGTAAAAAAATAGCATCAAACTATCTAGAGATATCGATACTGTGCATTCATAGTGAGCATAATCAGAATTAAACAATTCATTCAATAAATGTTTTTTACAAATTATGCATTCAAAATATTATTCTTCATCATACAGTAGCTATAAAAAGTATTCCCCTTGGACATTGTCACATTTTATTGTACAATCTCGAATCATGCTGCATTTATATGGGCTTTTTTGCCATTGATTAACCTCTATGCTATGATATACTGTACCTAGTATGTTTCACAGCAAAGCAAAGGGAATGAATACTTATGCAATCAGTTTTATTTTAAATTTAAAATTAATTTAGTAGGAACTGAAGAATTTTGTTTTCACTTTGACATTACTGTTCTGTGGTGGTCAATGGCATTAATAAGTGTGCATTAATAATGATTCTCAAGGTTTCAGAATAAAAACACAGAATTTGTCAGGTTCTTTGGTCAGGTCAGGTCTGAACCATGAAGACTAAGGAGCTTTCAAAGCAAGCCATTGAAAACCACAGATCAGGAAAAGAAAACAAAACATATTAAGTCTGTGTATATGACTGTATGTCTACTTAATTATCCAGAAATGCAAGGTGCAGGTGTACCACTCAAACTGCCTATATCAGGCTGTCCCTTCAAACTGCCAAGCAAGGAGGAAACTGGTGAGAAATGCCACTGTAAGGCCAATGACTACTAATAAAAAGAGCTACAGAGAAAATGTGGATCAGTCTAAAATATCAGTCACACCAGAAAACTATTTCACAGTGGAAAACCAATCTATTAACCCACATGGAGTTTGCAACACAGATCCTGACTGATCCTGCCAAAACATGGCAAAAGGTGTTGTGGTCAGATGTGACCCAATTAGAGCCTTTTGGTGGTGGCAGCATCAGGTTCTGGGAATGCTGATTCTCAGACTGCAAAATGTTAGAATTAAAAGAAAAATGGATGAAGCAAATGATAAGCAAATACAGAGGAAAACCTGTTTCAGTCTGCTAAAAACTTAAAACTAGGGACAAATTCACCTTCTAAAAGGCAACTGATACAAAGCACAAAGTCAAAGCTACACTAACGTGACTTGCAGAAGGTATAGGAAAGTGAATGTCCTTGAGTGGCTCAAAGTCTTAACTTGAATCCTTTTGAGAAATAACTTGCCAAGCAGAATGGACAAAAATTCCATCAAGCTTGCCTACAAAGTTAGATTCAAGTCATCATAAAGTACATTTTTGCATATAACATGTGGGACATTAATATGCGGGACACCTGGAGAAGACGGGGAGCATTGTGAGAGTTATGTTCTTTGACTTCTCCAGTGCCTTTAACATCATCCATCCACCTTTACTGAGAGATAAGATAAGGGCGGGGCAGGTGGACTCTCCCCTGGTGTCCTGGATTATAGACTATCTGACCTG